AACTCCTGGGCTCAAGTGATTCTCCTGCTTCTGCCTCCAAAGTAGCTGGGACTATAGGCACCCACCACAAAGCCCAACTGTTTTTTGGTTGTAGCTGTCATTGTTATTTGGCGGGCCAAGGCTGGATTTGAACCTGCCAGCTCAGATGTATGTGGCTGGCACCTTAGCTGCTTGAGCCACAGGCACTGAGACAGACCAAGAATTTCTAAAGTGAAGAGGGGATGTATAACCTTGAAGTCAACCCAAGTAGGCAGTTCTACTTTCCCCACTGACACGCAAAGTTAAGTGAATAGTAACTGGGATCCTTTGATGAGGGCTCCTGGTGACCCAGGAACCATCCTATCTATTACTGGAACAAGTATCCCCAGTATATTCCAGAGGTTACTAAATGCTGTCAAGCACTAGTTCTCAACCTCACATACACAGTCCACGCCATTATCTAAAAGTTACATGGGGCAGGGAGTTTACTGGCTTAGTAGGGTCTTCCCTTCAATTTTCTCCCATTTCTCGTGATCCTCTCAAGCAGGTTGAAGGGTTCTACTCTTCAGTGATATTAGTAGGTGGTGGAATGTATCTTGGTTTCATTTACAAATGCCAAAGGCCACTAAAAGTTTATATTGGATACCTTAGAGCAGTGGTTCTCAACCTTCCTAATCCCATGGCCCTTTAATACAGTTCCTGTGGGCCGTGACCCACAGATTGAGAACCGTCGTCTTAGAAGATTTCTGGAGGCAGAAAATCTTGTGAGAGGAGTCTACCACTGTTCTCTGATGACCTTGGGGAAATAAAGAGTTGAAAGGAGAGGGAAAATGATGGAGACGGTGGTGTCTGAGGACAGGAAGACCCACAGGCTGAGTGAAGAGTACCCCAGGGTGCCAGGGCCCTAGATCTGACGGTGGGTTTAGCATATTAGATAGGAAGCATCTTTCTAGAAAAGGCCAAACAGAAACTGGAGGTGTCCCCAAGGTAAACTGATGCACTCGAATATTTTAGCAATGAAAACGAGCTACAAACATTTTTAAAAATACGAATCTTATGATGTAATGCTGAATAGAGAAAAAAAGTCTTAGAAGACATGAAATAGGATAGCTTTTGGATCAGGCTCAAAAACAAAATAACAAAGACTTTTCATACGTGATAGAAAAACAGCTACCACAAAAAACCGAGAAAGGTTACTTCTGTAGGGTGAGGAAGCAGGGAAAAGAAAGATTAAACAAATCCGAATGCGTTATGGTTAATGTTCTAGCTAATAATTCACAGGCAATCAATACATTAAAAGAAGAACCACACACAGACTTATAGAAGTGTCACAAACCAGGGGTTAGGATTAATCTAGATCTGCATATTTGAAGTATAACAAAACGCCCAAGTGATATTTATAACATAGCTGTGTTTACAAACTTAAGACTCACATCTATTATAGGAAAAGAACTTCAAAATAAAGTATCTCGACTCCATATATCCTATTCTGTTTTCTGCTTATTACTTTTTGGATACATAATATATGCTATTTTTT